TGAATATCCGCACTAAAATAAATATTCGATTCAGAGCACGACGGATTCTACGCATAGGATGGCTTGCAAGTGGACAGTCCGTATGGACCGTACGCACAGCTGTGAAACCAGCCTTAGCAGTGGAAAAATATTTGGTTGCGTATAGGTAGAATAACGGCTAAGTTAGCAAAACAATAATTACGAAGTTTTAGTAGCAGTAGAGGTCCTTGGGAAAGAATTCACCCAGGGCAGTACTGCCACCTTACTTATTTCTGCCCCCAAGCAGTATTGCGAGCATTACTGCGTTCCGGGTTTGAAGGGTAAGTACATGTCAACTTACGTCTCAGGCTGGCGGGCGCAGTAGCAGTGTTCCTTAGATCTTTGTGATTTAAAGCTCTGACTGGCACTGTAACAGCTACAGACAGGCGTGTCTCTAAACACCAGGCACACGATTGGTTTGTCACATCACTTGGCATCATAAAAAAAAAATTAGTTACGTTGTTTTGATACAGTGTTCCTTAGCTTAATAAAAAAAATAAAGCTCTTCTAAAGTCCAAGGAATGTCGTATAAAGTCCTAATGAAGACAGTCGGAGTTAATCAAAACTGTGCCCTAATAAACGGTTATTAAAAACAAATTTGAACGTTTAATAGGTCTTGGATATAAATGTTCTCACGTTAGAAGTAATTATCTTATTTACATAACTTCATAATTAAGGTTTAGGTCGCCTATTTTGAGCTAACTCTTGATTTACGTTAGTAAATAAGTACCCAGTTTTCTAGGCTACAATCTATGTTGTAACTTACTGCGGGGAATATGTTTATTTCATTACATTAGTTTCTGTATTGTTTGATTGAACTGTTTTAGTAAATTGTCATTGTAGGTTGTATTTACTTACAGGTAAATAATAACTTCCAATATGAATATCCAATTGTTATTATATATTTTTTAAATAGTTACAACAGTTTGACATATTTTTTAAATTAGTGCAAAAGAACTACCATCTAGGTCATTAGGGTCTGGAAAAATTGTTTTTAAAAATTTTTAGAAAAGGACTACATTACCGTCTCAAACCAAAACACTGGAAGTTACTATACAATGTTTTGAAATCTCATTACAATAAGAATCTGTCGGATGATCGAGGAAGAACAAATTTCTTGATTTTTCGAGAGAAATAGCTTATTTTGCAAAATGAAATTGAAATGGCTGGATAGAATTCCTAATATATAATGAAAAGAGCAAGTTAAATGAATTTTATTGTGTCAAAAATTACAAAAATCGGAAAAATCTTTTTGCAGTTTTTTCTCAAAATGCTCTTTTTGATATTACAGTGTATTGGTTTCACAGGGTAGCACTATTTTCTAAAAAAAATCGTATTAAATATATAGGGATATTACAGCTTTCGCATACGCGACGCGACTGTCGCTGTTGCTAAAGAAAATTGAGATACACCATAATTTGAAATATTAAAATTTAGTAATTAAAGAAATTAAATAATTTCTAAAGAACGAACGTTTGTTTCATCTCGTATAAATTACCACTAGTTGATTACAGGCCAAAAGATTAACTTTCTCAGATTTCTTTTTAGCAGTTGTCATAAAAGTGATTTATTTAGTAGCAGTAGAGCTCATTGTGAAAGAGTTTGTCATGGGAAGTACTACTGCTACCTTACCTAATTCTGCCTCCAAGCAGTAATTACTACATTACTACGTTTCAGTTTTGAAGGGTAAGGGTGCTGGTGAAATCACAGGTATATTAGACTTATCAACGTATGTCTTAGCGTGACGGACGTAGAGGAAGTGACGCAATCTTTATGATTTAAAGCTCCGAGTGGCACTGGAATATGGACAGGCGTCTCGCTTTACCACTAGACACAAGATTAGTTCGTCTCGTCACTTAATGTCATAAAAAAATGACATCATCTGAGAATTGACCGACTTTTATTTCACATACAGTTCACTCATACTCTAAACAGAATAATCAACAATTCACTTTACAAATAATATCGTAAAGTCTACTTTCAATGACATTGACCATTCTATAGTATTTGTGCTCTGATTAGCTTTACGACCAACTTGTTACCGTTATTATTATAAAAAATATTTTGTTTTGCAACTCTGTGACCTCACGAGGATCGTTTCCTAACATTTATTAGATATGGCCCCTATTGTAAGTTGGAAAAGGTTGAAATTAACAAAGAGAAGCATATTTAAGAATTAAAATTATTCAAATGTTGTCTGACAATGCCGTTATTTAACCTATTTAACAATGCTAATTAATTAAATGATTGTTATTTAAATTTTTACCAATTTTAAAGCTGTTACCTGACACCCTACATTTATTAATTGAAAGAAAAACTAAACAAGAATCTGCGTATAACGTAATGAATAAATTTAAAAAAAATAAAAGACACGTATTTTGAATGAAGTGCCTAAATTTATGAAGCCGTAAATAATATAAGCATATCCAGTTCTTATGTTTTCGCTTACTGCTACACATTGGAAATAAAACTAGATTTTCAAATCCATATTGCGTATATTTGTATTTAAACAAACCAATGTTTCGGGGTCTTTACAGGTCCCATAGTCAGTTAGCAGTGGACATGTTTTCTTTGATAAAAAAAAACAACTCGATAGATTACGAGAAAATAGTTTCACTTCTAATATAAGTATGTTGTTTTTGTTTTGTTGTTAGAGAACGGTGAAAAAAAAAAGTATGTAAAAAGACGCGAAAATGATGAAGTATGAAGAATCCACACAATGTACGAGTATAGATTTCTTTTCTTTTTGTTTTATGATATCGAGTGACGGGACGAACAAATCGTGCCCCAGGTGATAAGCGACACCCTTGTCCATGGCATTGCAGTGAATTAAAATTGCAAAGATCAGAGAGATGCCATTGCACCTGTCACCTTGTGATATAAGTTGATAAATACTATGTGCCTGTAATTTCACCAGCAACCTTACCCTTCAAAACCGGAACGCAGTAATGCTTACATTGTTGCTTGGCGGCTGAAATAAGTAAGGTGGCAAAACTTCCCTGCACGAATTCGTCCACAAGGAGCTCTAGTGCTACTAAACTATTAGATATTTATTATTAGGGTGTATACAGGGCCTGTAAAACCTACGATACTATGTGTGACTTAATTCAATCCATTACATTGGCCAATACGTCTACAGTTTCCTTTATGTGACGCTATTATGTTGCAAGCGATAATAAATCGTAAATTTCTCAAAGAAAAATATGATTCTTGTAAATTACTGACCGGGTGTCGGTAAATAGAGCGGATAGTTCTGACACTGACCCGCCGTCGCGTGCGCAATGTATCACGTGCTGACAAAATTATGTTACAAATTTTTTCATAATAGTCGAAAAACGGGGTTCGATAAAAACGTAGGTTTTTACCTTTGTATAACTAAAATGAGTTTTTTTAAATTATTAATACTTTTTAAAATAAAATCTTTATAACTTTACTCCAAAGAAGAATAATAATAATAATTTATTTGCGTAATGATAGCTGCTAGGTACTCAAAAAAGGAAAACCTGTCCTGTAAGTACTAGCAAACCTTCCAATGGTATACTAAAACATACAATTGTCCTTATTTTATATATACATTGTGCAAAAATGATATAATAATAAAAAAGAAACAAAATAACTCTATTTTTTTTCTGGAGTCATGAGTAAGGAAAACGTATGATATACATTGATTGTCAGCTTTATTTATATGTGTAATTAGGCATGAAATAAAATTTTATTTTCTTTTTACTAATTCACGTAATAAGAAATTAAACAAACATACAAAATGTTAGTAATTTTCATCATGTGTTGCGGTTTTTCACGCTTGTTAACGATCTCAGTAATTATAACAAATTGGCGCCTGCTCATTAAACAACGGGACGTTGCCAAACTAAACAACATTTTTGTTGAATTCCACGGTTAATGTAATTTTAACTGTTAACTTTTAATTTAAACCCAACAAAATAAAAGGTTGTTTTAGGTTGTTGTTACATTCTTGTATAATCTCAAATTTACGTTTTGTTAAATAATCTCTACAGCGGCTATTGTTTCATTATTAAAGTGTTGAGATTTTGTATTTATTGCTTTACTTTATTTTATAGACGTTTCTATTGCTTTAACAAAAGTAATTGTTTCCGAAATTTTTATTTCGGAACAAAGTATTTTTTGTTCCGTAGATTAAAAAAATTGTTCTCTATATCAAACATTTACTTTTCTCCTTTTCTATAAATATTCAACAAAGACAGAGTAAAAAATATTAGTTATTTCCAAGTACATTTTTAATTTTATACCATATTATTTTTAATATTTCAAATATCGAACTCTTCAGTCCAATTTTAGATTCTATATACAGCTTTTAAACACATATTTTTGAGTAATTTTCTTATACAATAAACACGCCAAATAGGCATCTAGACGTTGAATGGTGGACACCAGTCCGTTATACCATACCACTAAATATAATAAAATGCAGGATAAACTAGATTGAAAGGAAATATAGAATTGGTTTCAGTATTCTTTTGTTTTAGCAGTCAGTTTCAGCATTTTGCAGAACAATAACACGGTATCAGAAATGTAATCAATGAATTTGTAAAATGCTCTTGTAGTTGTTGTTCTTTATCAATCTATTGAGCGTTGTGAAAGATAATCTTGTTCTGCAGCCAGGGAATTAGATTGGTTGGTCGAGTAAAGGTATCCTGCAGTGCTCGATAACGTTGGCGCAACAAATGTTTGAAAACAAAGTGCGCCAAACACGCCTATCAGATTTACCAACAATAAATTGAGTTATAGCTGCACCCTGAACACTTAATCACCATAACAGAACTTATTTGCATAAGTGATATATGACACATCATTAGAAAGATATCGAACACAAATCAACTATTCGATGATTTTATCGATCGCCTAAGGCAATCACAAAATTAAGTCGTAACAATTTCTGTGACATATCACTTATTTTCTATTAATTATCAATTACTCATTATTGAGAGAAATGTGGTACTCACCATGGATTTCATTTTGATAGGTGGTTTTGCACAGGTGTGAATGAGAGATAGTTATGGAAATAAATAGGTTTTTTGTTTGTTCCTATAGCGCTGCTGGAAGACTAGAATCTTCCAGGAATCGCTATGTTGAAGTGCAACTTGCGTCTGACCGAAATGAGGGCGGGAGCGGGCTTTTATACGGCGGCGCCTGGGCAGAGGGGGTGCGTGCGCGCAGACCCTCCGCGCACCGAAGTTGGGCCGGCGCGCTGTGAAAGTATTGGGACATGCCATTGATAATGGCTGAATATCACACATTTCAATGGCGGTTGCCGCTGCGTTCGGTGTCTGATGTGTGTGAGGCTGTGCTAGTTATTCATAGATACAGTACTCATTTTAAGTTCACGTGTTGTTGCAAAATTTTTGGTGTACATTATTAATGAAATAGGTAGTATTTCTTTAAATTAACGTTAAAACTTACGCAACTATAATTTTGGAAATAATTCCTGCTGTACTTTTTTGGTTGGTAAAGATGGACTAATTTTAATTATTCCGCTCTTAATTGGAATGTTTACTATGAAACGTTATCGAAAAAAATACATAGGTGTTTCAAGGGTTCAAAAATGCAATATTTTATTCTTATTTCGCAACAAGTGATGTCATACCTATTATATGTATATTTCATACAATAAATACCGTTTCACTAATGTCATTATGACTGAATAATTTATTATTAATTTATTTATATATAACGTAATAAATAAAATTGGAAGTGTTAAAACTAATAGAGCGACATTTTATCATTCACATTTGACATTCAGCGTAGTAAACATTTGCATTTGTCATTGTCTCATTTTCCTCGCTATATCGATTTGTTTCAAGAGATTGGTTTCTAATTTTCAAACGACTTCAAAAAAAGGAGGCTGTTCTTTCACTGTATTTTTTTTGTATGTATGTTACGCGATAACTCCGACATCTGTGAACCGATTTCGATGATTCTTTTTTTGTGGGAAAGAGGGTTCCATTCAAATTTAAAGCAAAAATATCCACCTCTAAAAGTGGCAAATTTGGGGAATCCGGTGTTTTGAATTTCACCCACTTTCCGTTAACGGATTTCAATAGAACTTTGCAAATAGATTTTTATAAAAAAGTTGTAATAATTAAGGAGTTATTCTTAGTAGAACAAAACTACATAAAGAAGAAGAAAGGAAATAGAACAAATGACATAGGTCAGTGCTGTTAGGAGGTTTTTATGTACACACGTATTTTGTTCCTACTTTTTAACCGACTTTAAAAACAGGAGGAGGTTCTCAATTCGATTGTAGGTTTTTTTTTGTACGTATGTTAAGCAATAATTCCATTTGTGAACCGATTCTGATGATTCTTTTTTGTTGAAAAGAGGGTACCTCAAGGTCCAAGGTCTCAAGAAAAGGTCCCATTTAAATTTGAAGAAAATATTCCACCTCAAAAGGTGACAAATTAGGGGTTGAATGACTTTTGAGGTCGGTTCTTTAGTGCTCCGTACTGAGATTGTTTGACTTCGTTACCTCCCATACAAATATATCTGCTTTTGAATTCGGCTAGTTTGAAAAACAAATAAATTTACAACTCTTTCAAGGTAGAGAGAGATATGTCCGTCAATCCGCTTTAAGGTAAATAAAGCGAAATTCCATTCTTCAAAGAGACACGTGACGAGCGGAAGGAGGTCATGGATCGATAAAGTTATTGATAAATATGCACAGTAGAAACAGTTTTATTAAGTTAAAGTCTTTTATATTTATTTCATAGGCAAGCAAATTACACTTGAAATCGTCATACTGATTAAACTCTACTGGTAAGGCAGATTTCCCTGAGAAGAATGAGCAAGAAACTTTAGGGGTTGCTCTTTGTAAATATACATGTAAATGGCAATGTTTGATTATCAATCGGAATCTTATTATATAAGCGTGTACATTGCCCCTTAAATTAATTTGAGACTTTATGGAGACGACTGTCGAGAACACCTAGTTTATTTTTACTCCTCGTATTAATATTAAGAAAATATATATTTTTCTTAACATAAATAACATTATTAAATATTCATTGAAAGTCAGGATGTTTCACCAATATGATATTCAATTATTTTTTGTAAAATTACTCTAATAGTTTTGTTATAATTATTAATACAAAGACCGAACACTTAGGGCGCGTTCCCACTATGTCGTCACGTTTTATTATCGTTGGACGACTGTCGTGTTTAGCCTGTTCCCATATCACGACTATCTGTCGTGGACGATTTTTTATCGTTGAACGACTGTCGTGACTAGCTGTTCCCACTAGATCGTGACGACAATAGGAGCTGCGACAATCTGTCGTTCACGTTTTTATCGTGACATTTTTTTATCGTTCGACGACTGTCGTTCTAGCCGTTCCCACAGTGACGACAGTTTGTCGTTGTAACGATAAAAAATCGTGAACGACAGTTAACCGTGTCGTGCTATATGTGAACAACTTCATTTAACTATACAAGCCACGACACTGTAAACTGCACGACAATCTGTCGTCACGACATAGTGGGAACGCGCCTTTAGAAAAAAATTCCTTCGATCCGGCCGGATTCGAATCGACGATGTCTTCTAGCAAACCGTGTCAGACGCTACATCAACTAAGCCACGGAACGGACCAATGAACCTCACGAATTTTTCCATGTGCTTTTTTGTCGGAGCTTTGTATTTGGTTTTCAGCGACTTTTTAGCCGTAGCGCCAGAGAAACGAGAAATCTATGAAAGTATTCTAAGTTCGAATCTTTTTATTAATAATTATAATAAATAACATTTTCATAAATGTACTGTGATGTTAATAGATTTTTCTTCTGATTTCCCATAGCCCTTCAAACATGTTAAACAAATAGACATACTATACAATGAGGTAATATTTAGGAATTTCAAATTTAAAATTTCGGTCAAGCGTGCTTAATTAAGTACAAGATCTAAAATCCGATTAGGCTCCAGATTTTTAACACATTTTTTAATCAAATGTTTAAATGTTGGCAATCGAGCTATATTGACATGTTGCTGTTGTTTTTATACTTTTATTGCTCTTACATGGTATTGGCATTGATAGAACAAATTGTTTTATGATGTAATTAATTGTTTTAATTCAATCGTATAAGCTACTTGTGTATTTGTTTTTATAATTATCTGCATGAAATAGGGTTAGTACGTAATTTGTAAACAATTTTTGTAGAATATAATAATATAATAATATTTATTTATTTTAAACCATTCAAAATATCCATAGTATGTTAGTACGAGAATTTAAAAACGAGGTTAGTATAATACAATGCAGACTTAATTAATTACTACACTATAAATTGGGCTACGCCCTTAATTTGCTCTATCCAGAATTTTACAGATGGACAGTCAAAACTTCCCGCTATTGCACTTGGAATGCTGTTGGGACTTTGCCTGACGCGACTCTATACCGAGACAATCTTTTTCCGTATAACGGCCTGGAAGCTGTCCGTGTGAGCTTCCGCAAACATGGCCGACGCACTGCACCATTTTGGCAGTCCCGTCAGCACTGTAAATGCGTTATTATATTGAAAGTGCAGGGCGCTACAGGCGATTATGTACTACCTATTGAAGGTTTGCGACATTTCTGTAGTGAAAAGCGGTTTACATCTTAGATACGGATACAACTTTTTTCTAGTTTTGTAAAGATACGGTCGCGAATTCTTTGCTTTCTTTGTACGCCTTTTCTGTTTTTGTTTATTGCAGTGGTGATGTCGTACATTGATTCTTATAGTGTTTGTGATGCTCATTATATTTTTTTATAATACTAACTGCCGGGACGGATAAGTTCTGTGCCTGGTGGTGCGCGAAACGTTTGTTTATAGCAGTTGCAATGCCACTCGAAGCTTCAAATCCCAAAAATCCTAGGGACATTGCCGCTGCTCCCTCACCCTTAGTCATAAGTTGGCAAGTTCCGTGTGCCCGTAATATCACCAGCACCCTTACCCTTCAAAACTGGAATACAATAATGCTCAGATTACCGCTTGGCGGCAGAAATAGGTAAGGTGACAGTACTTCCCTGGAAGAACACTTTCACAAGGAGCTATACTGCTACTAAGTATTTGCGTTTTCTTCCCTTTGTCGCGTTTTTCCTTATTGTAATCACACAGTCCACAACGTCCACTTCAGATACAGTCACTTACAATGAAAAGTATACACGTAGCGATTAACATTCGGTATTTGTTGATTATTCATTGTAATCATAAAATACTTGGCATAAACAATATCTAGAACGGCTAAGAAGTGGCAGGGCCCCTCAGATCTTTGCGATTTAAGCCCTTGAGTCGCACTGCAACTGCTATAGACAGGCGTGTCGCTTACCACCAGACGCACTGTTTGTTCGTCCCGTCGTTTGGTATCATAAAAAAATTTGTAAAATATTGTGACAATTCTAGAAACTCGATTGTGATTTCGTTAAGGGCTTACATTTTATTGCAAGCGATTGAACCTAGGACGATCGAGCAGCAATTTTCCAGCCCGATTGGCACGAGAAACTCTGTTCACTAGTAAGCTGTTATAAAGTGTATTTACTGATGTTAATAATGTTATATGCGAGAACAAAGTCATAATGATGATATGCAGAAGGTACAGAAATCATAGTAGGTGTTATGTGGAGGTAAACCTGAATATGTGACAAATATGATTCAAAATTAATGACATAAATACACTGATTACTTGAAAGAAAAATGAACCGTATTTATCAAAATTATACCTGAGTCTCAATTGAACAGAAATGTGATAATAAATTATACGCTGACAAACGGAAGCGTTTTATATTAATACATGTAAGCTTCGTAAACTACCAAGATACATTTGCATGTGGAATAATTTTGAATTCAACTTTTGATTCTTGCAGGCCTTATTATTAAGAAAGGAAGTCCATTCTTTGTTTTATTCCTGTAATTTGCAGTTGAAGTCCAGAATAAAACGTGAATTGTTAATTATCATTATTCAATTTTCGAAGATATATAGATAGTGCTTGTAGTAAGGATTAGGTTAAATTTACAACATAAATGTGTAGTAGACAGCCACAGACGATTCAACTAATAATAATAATAATTGTTTGTTTTCAGGCAAAAAATCCCATTTTACATATACAATATGACATACTATAACAATAAT